CTTTTAGGCCGTCCCGGAAGCTACCGCTTCTACGACGAGTCGCTTCTCCCCTTCTCCACTCTCTCTGGCGGAGAAAGCTCTTCGAGCTTACGGGTGAGCTTACGCTTACTCTCAGCCTCTTTGATTGGTAGGCGGGCGGGGTAAGCCACCTACTTAAGATTCAAAAGGGTAATTGGATTATGTCGTGACGCTTTGGTTAGGCCGAATAGGAACGCCTGCTGCGCCCGTATGGAGCGAAGAAGCTGATATCGCTGTTGCTTTCCGCATGCCAGCTTAAGGACAGAGCGCTATAGGAAAGAGAAATGACTATAAGGATCCAACGATTCTCTCTTCTTAAACAACCTATATCCTCCACACTTAATCAGCATTTGATAGATTATCCAACTCCGAGCAATCTTAGTTATTGGTGGGGGTTCGGTCCGTTAGCTGGTATTTGTTTAGTCATTCAGATAGTGACTGGCGTTTTTTTAGCTATGCATTACACACCTCATGTGGATCTAGCTTTCAACAGCGTAGAACACGTTATGAGAGATGTTGAAGGGGGCTGGTTGCTCCGTTATATSCATGCTAATGGGGCAAGTATGTTTCTCATTGTGGTTCACCTTCATATTTTTCGTGGTCTAGTTATAGCAGTCCTAGGGAATTGGCAATTGACGCGGGAAGGAACTATAGAATCGCCCTAGTATACTCTACTTGTTCACCTCGAAAGGGAGGTTCTCCTTATGATGCTAGCGCAGTAGCCAGCGCAACGGCAGCGCACTAGCGCGTGCATCCGTTTTGAATCTTGCTGCAACGGCAAAGCGCGTTGCGATGCCCTGGCGGGCACCTGAACTTACAGCCTTCGCTTGCTCTCAGGCAACAAGCAACTGATTGAGCGCTTGCGCTAACGCGCAGCCGGCTTTGGAGCCGCTTGCGCGCGCTTGAATGTTGAGTTGAATGAATGATTTTGCCCAAGGGATTTCTTTAAAAAAAAAAGAAAAAGTATAAATAATTATATATTTTTTCACATGTATAATATATATTGCATTTTATACAGTATAGGAATATGAATTGATATATATAAAATCACTTTGCCACATGAACATTGATTTTGAACCATGTTATTTTGTTCAAATAGTTTTGGATCCAAAGCCAGACGACGCAAATCCATGTCTGATTCTTGGGTTAACTGGTCCGACTGTCTAATCCGGTCCAATTTTTAAAACCATATAAAAAACTTGTGTCATTGAGCAGATGAAGCACAAATATAATTACGAAAAGAACACCCCCTTTTTTAATAATACCATTCCTGTCAACTTGTCAAGGTTAACAGCAATCATTCAAGTTTGAATAGATAAAAGGAGCTGGCGTGGTATATACTTTGGCCCAGTAATACGAGTAAAGTCGTAGGGCCAATCAAGTTTGACGAAATTGACGCGGTGTATGATAATTAACCCAAACACAAGAGCAGTCAGAGAATCATCAGACATCACCACGGTGGGCCCCTTGTAGGTTGTAGCCCACAAAAGTTGGCCCAATCAATAAAAAACCATAGCCACAAGGCCCACAAGTCCCATCTTCTCAGTAATTTACTTAAAATTTTATTAACAATTAACGTCAAGTCGTCTGATTATTAAGAAATTACAAGCAAAGCCTCCTTCTGGGGCTTCTCTTACTTAAAATTTAAAACTTCAAGAAATATGTACAAGCCCGAATTTTGTAAAATTTGTATCAACGTTATTAATTATTATGTACAGAATATGCTCTAATGGGGCCCAAATCTCCGTGATATACTGAATGGACGCTAGAGATACATTGAAGGCTCAGATGTAGGGATTGATGTGGGATGAGTAATCGCGAATCCCTGCACCCTCCCAGCCCATCCACTCTTCCCACAGGTCCCACTCCGAGTCGCACATTCCCCTCATCGGCTCGTCCTCGTCATAAACGTATGATGATGACTCGTGCAAACTCATGGAGTCCGCTTCCCCCTTCAAAGCGCTCATCACAATCTGCAATAACACATGGACCAACACAGATGGATCATCGACCGTTCATTCCCATCCATCGAATCTAAAGATCATAGAGGGAGAGAGAGAGAGAGAGACTTGGATCACTTACATCATAGGCTTCGAGGATCTGGTGAAATTGGACCCCACAATTGCTTCCTTTGCATACATCCGGATGATACTGAAAACAGAAGAAAATAACGAGAAGAGTAAGATTTCAGAAAATCAAGGAAGAAGAACATGAACCCAGAAAAGAAGGACTAATGACTGATGAAGCTCGATAAATCCCAAATTGAAATTGGAAAAGAAAGAAACCAACCTTCAAAGCAAGCTGCCTGAAAGCTTTCTTGACCTCCGACTCAGAAGCCCCAGGTTGGATTCTGAGCGTTCTGTACTGTTCCGTCAAGCTGGCCGAGGCTACAGAGGAAGAACAGAGGACTCTCCTCTTTGTCCTCGCATTCTTCCTCAAGCAACCGCCCTGAATCCAATAGCAGGACCCACCATTCACCAACCCAGCACTAGCAGTAGCCATAGCCATCTCCTCCTTCTGATCTCAAACCACACGAAACCAAAATCAGATCACCAAACCCACCAAACAAACACTCTCAAATTTCAATCTTCCCTCCTCTTCCTCTGGTTTTCCGAATGAATCTATCTATACGCCAAGAAAAATAGGTCCTTCTCCCCTTCTCTCTACTTCCCAGATTTCTGTAATTGATTTGATGTATCCGCTGTGCGCTGTTTGTCCGGTTCCAATGATTCAATATCAAAGTTGCCTGGTTCGACAAGTCATCCATTGTATTTATAAAGAGAAAGCGAGAGGTGGGAAGGGATGGAGAGACGGACGGTGCTTATCCAAAGCTGTTGCTCTGATCGCTCCACGTTTCTATTTCAGTTAAATTTTGGGAGGTAAAATTTAATATGTCCGGAATCATTTGCTGGATCCACGCACGCAGACAGACACGTGGGCTCGTATGGTTTCGCGTGCGAATACACGTAGATTGTCGTGTGTGGATGGCAAGGCGACACCGATGCTTCCGGTACTAATTGCTATACTTTTTATTTTTTATTTATCTTTTTGGGTTAAAATATGGATAAGGACGTCAGAATGGATAATTGGATTGGGTGAAAGCCGAGCGCATTGTTCGAGGAATTGCGAGTATAGAATCTAATAATAGACTGACTACTTGGCTTTTAGCCTTTTACTATTATAAGTTATCTTAAATTCTTAATTCCAAATTTATAGCCCTAATAAGTAAGGTTTCGTGTCGGATCTGCTTATCCAGTTGAGTTTGGGTTTATAAGTATAGAACTGTCAATGAGTCGGGTTTAACCCGATAGAATCGAACCGATTATACCAGCCTGGTTCTGAGTTTTGTGTCTCAACTAGAATTGGGTTGGACCGATTTTTGCCATTTAGAACTAGTTAAGACCTGAACCAATTACACAATTAATTCTATATAACGATATTATGTTTTTTTAAATTTTATAATATTTTTATGTTTAACATATAAGCAGTTCACCATTTACTTTTATTTTATTAAAATTTGACCATGATCAAAAGACATGATATCACAAAAATCTATTTGGTAACTAAAAAAGTGGTTTTATCTAAATTTACAGGAAACCGGATTAAATCAGTGCAAAACCCATTTTAACAATCATTATAACCTTGCATTGAGAATATCTCTCTATAAAAAACACAGAAGTATAAAAATGTTCCCGATGCAAGGCTGTAAAGACTGTGTGAACATGGGCCTTGCACTGACTGAAGCTGATCTCCATTTACAGGGGGTTTTGATAGGTTAATGCCCTTCGATAATCATATTAATCATATTAATATAAACTTAATTTTTCATTTTAATTAAATTTATATTATCAAAAATGATGTTTCAAGTAATCATATTACAGGTAATTTATATTATACATACGGACATACCAATTATTTCATATTACAGGTAAGACCTGATCCTCTCAAATTAATTGGTTCGGTCTTGGTTTTTAGTTTTGCATAATTGGGTTAGAACCGGTCCATCCTATCCCAAACCATACCCGACTTACGAAACCGGGTCATAATGTGGTCGATTAGTCCTAATAAGACAGTGATAAATAAGCGGGTGGAGTAGGAAAGCGACCCATTTTGGCTATAGGAAGTGAAAAATAAATAATATATGCACGTCCCACGTGTTTTTTAAATGGTAGTTTAATTTGACTTTATCTGCTACATAAATGTCGGTTGTTAGTTATTACTATTTTGATTTTTTATAATTTTTTATTTTGTATGTGTAGTAGGCGGAGGCTTTGCTTCTACATTCTCTTATAGAGAACAAGTTTGGTTGACCAGAGAAAACTAACTAACCACCAGAGACCGTTTTTAATTATGGAAGGTTGGTGAAATTTGTATGTGCTTAATATTTTAATTCAAAGGTTGTCTGGGTCAAGATGAATTGGTTGGGGAAAATGGAATGGGCATAGTTAGAAAATTTCAAATATATGAGTAATTAAAAATTGCAAATAAAAGAGTTTTTTTTTTTAATTATGAGATTAAAAATTTGAGATATTTTTATTTTATATACATTTTAAATTTAAATAATACATTTTTTGTATAAAACATATCAAAATTTTGGGTCTTAATCAGATTTCAAAATATCACAATGTATGGATGCATATCTAATGATATGTATTGTTGGACTCAAATATATGAGTACTTTAAACAAATAAAATTTCTAAATAATACATTTTTTTTAATCATGGCCCATGGGATTAGAAAACTGAGAAATTTTAATTTTATATACATTTCTAAATTAAAAAATAATTATATTTTTATGCATGTATATATTTAACATGTCATACACATTTTATGTGTAAAACATTTGAAAAATTTTGGGTCTTGTTTTTGAGAAAAAAATTGGGTCTTAACCAAAGTTCAAAATATCAAAATATCACTATATATGTATTCAAATACTGAGATATAGGAGGAAAGGCCATGATTAATATTTAATAATTAATATCCTTCATAAAGATCGAATCGGATGAGCCGGAGACAAAATCATGTACACCGGGCTGAATTATCTATCATGAGTGAGCACGCCAGTATTCACTATAAACGGCACCCACATTGAACATTAGTGTGTTCACTTGTGATAGATAGCCCAGCCCAATGTGCATGATTCTTTTCTCCAACCAATCCAATCTCTTAAAATAGACTGATTGAAATCAATGTTTTCAAAACTGGACCGGATCGGAAAAACCGAGAACTGATCACCCATTTTACTCTAGAATTGTCTTTTGGTCAAAACCCGTTGATTTGATCAATAAATCGCTGATTCGGGTGGTTGAACCATTTAATATATTTTAGTTATTTTTTATTTTTTTTAATTTATTTTATCAAAATGGGCCATCCATTTAAACCGTTTGATGTTTGAAAACCGTCCGATTCGTTTTTAAAAACCTTGATTGAAGTCTTAAAACTGACAAATTCAACAGATGCAATAACAAAATGGTACACACCCCACAATTCACACCTTTCTAAGTGTTGTGATTTGTGAATATTCAATTTCTTATTATGGCGATGCTTCGAAGAACTACCATCCCATTTTGAGAGCAGCAAGCCTTGTGTTAGTAATTAGAAGCCTGATCAATGAAACTACCAGGAAGGTTCATCGATAATACAGATATAACAGAATCACAACATCTAGACAATATCTCTTGAAATAGGAGAAGCCAATTTGTATAATCATTAGCAAATTCCATGAAACTTACTATTGTGGTCCTGAATTTGAATTTTTGAGGGTGATAACTCTGAAAATTATTTGGCTCCTATACGGACGACATGCATCCGACCAAATACTTTCTTTACACGTTAGACCCAAATAAAAAATAATTGGCTCTTATCTAGTTGGAGAACATGCAATTTTAGGGCTTAAGTGGTTTAAATTTAGGGTTTAGGTATTTGGTTTGAAGGAAAAAATAGGGAAATGAAGGAAAACATAAAAAATCTACATAAGGTTTGTAAAGGTTTCCTTACATTTCCCTTTCTTTAACTACTTTTTCCTATAAACCAAACACAACCTTAGGATTTAGGGTTAGGGTTTAAGGGTTTCCCTCCCCTCTTTATTCCTGTCATTGTTAATATTGATGTCTGATGTCTTTATAATTACATGCTCCTGTGTCATAAAAAGAAAGAAAGTAGACAAAATGTCAAGAGTCGAATAAAAATAAAACCGGAATAGGATAAAAGATATGTAGATAAAAAACTAAAAAATACTAAAATAAAAAATTCAAAAAATCATAAAAAGAAAAGAATTCAGAAAAAAAGGATAGGAATGTTAGGCATAAATACACCTAAAGAAAATAAAAAAACTGAAAAATTTAAAAGAATCAAGATCCCAAAAAAATTTTATTATAAATCAAATTAAAAGTCAGAAAAACATTATATAATCATAAATAAAAAATAAAAAGAAAAATATAAAAAGGGCAAGTTTAAAGAAAAAAGGAAAAAAATAGAAAAATAGGAAAATAAAAAAAAAGAGAGAAGAAAAAAAAGGTAAAACAAAAAAATGATATAAAAGGGGGTAAAGTTTAGTTAAGAATAAATATACAAAAAAAAAATAATCATAATTAAAAAAATGTCCAAAATAAAAAAAAAGTAAAAATAGAAAATAAAAGACAAAATCGAAAAAAAGTGAACAAAGAGAAAGAAAAATGAAATAAAAAATATATAAAATAATTAAAATTCTCAAAACACACAAAAAATCAAATAAAAGTAAAAAAAAGAAATAAAAAAATCCAAAAAAACTATTAAAGTGAGAAAATTAAAAGGGAGAATTTTAAATTGGAAAAAGAATAAATATATAAAAAATGTAAAGAAAACAAAAAATACAAAAATATAATAAAGTGTCAACAAAACAAAATATAACAGTTGTAAATAAAATAAATTACAAATAGAAATAACAATTGACACTTTATTTTGTTTTTGGATTTTTCAGAATTTTTTGTATATTTTGTTTTCTTCACATTTTTTATGTATTTATTCTTTTTCTTTTTCCAATTTAAAATTTTCCCTTTTAATTTTCTCACTTTAATGATTTTTTTGGATTTATTTATTTATTTTTTTACTTTTTATTTGATTTTCTTGTTTTTTTTTGATAATTTTAATTATTTTATATTTTTTAAATTTGGTTTTAACATCTCTTTTTTTTTTTACTTTTTTGTCTATTTTTTCTTTTATTTTATATTTTTACTCTTTTTAATTTCTTTTGGACTTTTTTTAATTATTATTATTATTTTTTGTATATTTATGCTTAACTAAACTTTACTACACCCTTTTATTTTAATTATTTTACCCTTTTTTTCATCTCTCTTTTTATTTTCCTATTTTTCTCTTTTTTCTTCTTTTTCTTTAAACTTGCCCCTTTTATATCTTTTCGTTTTTTTATTTATGATTGTATATTTTTTTAATTTGATTTCTAATTAATTTTTTTGGGATCTTGATTGTTTTAATTTTTTATTTTTTTTGATTTTCTTTAGGTGTATTTATGCCTAACCTTCCTATCCTTTTTTTGAATTTTTGAATTTATTATTTTTTAGTTTTTTATCTAGATATATTTTATCCTATTCCGATTTTATTTTCATTGGACTCTTGACATTTTATCTTTTTTTTTGTTTCTATATACTTTTTTATTTATGTTATTATTTTGATGTGGACCCCACAAGGGGTATGTAAACAAACAAGGCTGGGTGGCTGACATCCTAAATGACTGGGTTGAAACATGGAGTGTGATGCATGA